GCCGTTTTTTATCCTGCCCCGTTTACCCGGGCGGCCCCCCCGGGCCCAACCGGCTGGGCCCAGCCTGGCAGGGCAGGCCCGGCCGGGCGGCGTCCTCACTCAGATTTTAATCCAGCGGCCTAACTCAGTAGGTAAGGCTCGCAAGTGGCATTCAGGAGGTCGTGGGTTCAATCCCCATTGGCCTCATGTACCTTCCTGGGCATGCTTGGCGCCCGCCACCTAGAGATAGACCACTGGATCCCCCGATTGGCATTTAGCAGAGTCTGCTGATGTTCATAGGGGAGGGGACCTGAGGGGAGGCACAGGGATTGGTCCTGTTGGCATGGTCCCTGATGCTTCCGGCTGTCCCCTAGCCGGTATCGCCCACCTGCAGGTCGGGAGCAGCCCCCGCATGTTCTCTCGTGAACACGGTTCTGGCTGCTACGGGGTTCCCCGTATGCCTACAGTTATTATGAGTAGTGGTAGGTAGGTAGGTAGTGTGAGAGGTGAAATTGAGAGAAGAGTATAGCTTTTAAAAGAAAAAAGAAAGGAAAAAGGTGTTTTTTTTTTTTTTTTTTCAAGCGGGGACCTTCCCTGGTCCTTGCACGGCCGCGGCCCGCCCGCCCGGGAAAACAAGGTGACCCGCGCGGCCCGCCTGGTAGTCTAGCCAAGAACACATATTTGCTGTCATTTGCGCTATTTCTGAACAAATGGGGGCTGCGGACAACCTCAGATGGGTATTACAGTCTAGGGACCCCTCTTTTTTCTGAGGCTGTCCGCCGCCCCTATTTGTTTTGCACTGTAATTACTAATTTGAAGGGTACGTAAATATGTATTCAACACATTTACCCGATTTTTTGCAGCCCCGATTGTTTGTCGTTCATGAACAAATCCGGGCTGCGGACAGCCTCAGATGAGGAGCACCTAGAATGTCATACCCACCTGTTATTGCTCAACTGGACCTTTTTTTTTTTTTTTTTTTTTTTTTTTTTTTTTTTTTTTTTTTTTTTTTTTTTTTTTTTTTTTTTTTTTTTTTTTTAAATTCATCCTTGCACAGGGGCCATGCTAATCTTCTCTGTATCGTTCCAATTTCAACGGACGTCCTGAAGGACTCAACTGGACGTTTCCCATTCAGTATCTGTCAATTGTGTCGAGTTCCAAAAAAAAAAAAAAAAAAAAAAAAAAAAGCTGCAAGTCGCCAGATGGTCAAATATGATCTGCTGTGTCTTCTCGAAACCGAGAGCTAGGCAGGTAGTATCGATTACTCTGGATGTATCTAGACAGCATGGTGCCCCATGTACAGTTATAGAGGCCGGGCGTTCTAGTCCCTGAATCCGGTTGTGAATGGTGCGAGTGCAGGTAGCTGGCAATGCATGCAAACTATGTGCACATTATTTCTCCACCCCCCACAACAACCCATGCGAGGACAGCTGCATGTCGTCTTGAAATTTCCATGCCGAGCAGGTTTCATCACGCCATAAGTGGGCGTGTCAGGCGTGCCCCTTCCTTCCTTCCTTCCTTCCTTCCTTCCTTCCCTCCCTCCCTCCTACCTTCCTTCCTTCCTTCCTTCCTTCCTTCCTTCCCTCCCTCCCTCCCTTCCTTCCTTCCTTCCTTCCTTCGTAGGCCACGGGGCCGCGGCCAACCTCCTAGGCCGTGGGATCCGAGGCCGAGGTGTCACATAGGTTCCAGACTTAGGGCTGACAGAGATGGCTCAAACGGAAAACACTGTCAAGAAAACTCGAAGGGCAAGCGGGGCCCACGTGCGGGGTATAAACAAAATTCCGCTTCGCCGTGGGTTTGGGGGCAAGGTGCGGCTCCGCAGTTGGCCGCGAAAAGAGATGTCAACAAGGGAAAGAAAAAGGGACGACGCGGAATCTGCCGCTTCTCTGATGCTACAGTCTTCCCCCGAACAAAACGCACGTATGTACTATTCAACTTTCCCGGGAAAAGTCCATTTCTCAAAGTCGGCCCCCGAAATCCAAATAGTACGTACGTTGAAATAGTACGCACGTATGTTCTATTTGAATCGTACACATATGTTCTATTCGAACAGACGGGTGTTCTGTTCAAATAGAACACATGGGTGTCATCTCTCTCTCTCTCTCTCTCTCTCTCTCTCTCTCTCTCTCTCTCTCTCTCTCTCTCTCTCTCTCTCT